TTTTGAAGTTGTAATATTTTCTAAAAATTCTTGGAAAATGAAGAAATTATTTTTTTTTAAACACAAAATTGTCATATTAACAAGTTATCTCTCACACACAGCATATGCATACTTGCAATTACACCCCAAAACACATTCTGCTACTTATCCTGAGTTTGACAATACCACATATGTGGGACTTTTACACAGCCTGGTCACACACAGAGGCCCAGCATTCAAGAATCACCATCAGGCGTTCTAGGGGCATAAATTACACTTTTAATTTCCTGACCACCTATCTGTGATGGGTTCATATTGTGCACCTACGTATACAAATCTCTTTCTTAGGTGGGGGGAGTGTACTATGGTCTTTGTAGAAGAACTAGAATATTTTAAGTCACACATGCTCAGTGGGTAAGATTCATTGATGATGTGTTTATATTATGGAAGGGTCAAAAGGATCTGTTTGAGGAATTTGTAGCCACCTTGAATTGAAACAATATTATGATGTATTTCATGAGTGAAATTAAATATGATAGCATACATTTTTTGTACTTGGAGATAAAAGGGGTGAAAGATGCAATATTAATACAACAATTTATCAAAAACCACAACCTCCATGTTACATTGGGGAATTTCACATCCAGCAGCCTTGAAAAAAGGAATCCACACCATTCAATTTATGAGAGCAAAGAGAAATTGCTCAACAGAAGGGGCATTCCAAATTGAGAGTAAAAAATTGTTTGACAGATTTATGAGACGTGGCTATCATAAGACTGATTTGATTAAATCCTATGAGAAAGTGAAAGGTGTTCTGAGAGAATCTCTGTTGGGTCAGAAGACCAGAAAAATGGATAACCAGCAAGGCATGCGATCATAGGTATATACTCAAATCAATCAGGGCAGATTTTTAACATCATAAAGAAATATTGGAACATTTTGCAATCAGGACAATTATCTATCACAGATCTAAAGACCTTAAGATAACCTACAGACAGGGTAGGAATTTGAGTGACATGTTAGTAAATAGTCACCTAGGGAAAACCTCTAAAACATCAATAAAACACACTTGGCTAACTGAGAAACAAAAAGGTAGTTTCAGGTGTGGTCACTGTAAGGCATGTACTTTCTTGAGCAATACCAAGGAGTTTGTTAACCCTAAAAATGGGGAGATTAAAATAAGAGATTTCTATAATTGCAGGACAGAGGGAGTGATTTATGCTTTTAAATGCCCATGCCCCCTAATATATGTAGGAAAAACAATCTGCCCCTTTAGGAGACGAGTTCTTGAACATGTGAACGATATTGCTCGAAACAAGTATAGACCAGTAGCAAGACATATGATACAAAAACATGATGGTAAGTCTGACCTCTTAAACTTTTGGATTATTGATAAATATAATCTGGGTCCTAAAAAAGGAGACCTAAATAAATGTCTTTTGAAACTTGAAGCAAAATGGATTTTATATTTAGGCTCAAGGGCACCTTTTCGTTTAAATGAAGGATTTACCTTCCTTCCTTTTGTGTGTGATTAGGGATTCTGTGCTTTTTGTTTGATTTTGCTCCATAAATGTTATATAATGATATGAACTGTAATTTTGGTCCTTATCTAGTGGGGCATTAACAGTGTTTGAGAGCACCAGCAGTGTCTATTGTTTTGTGGATTGATTTGCTGCTGTGGTGTTGTTTTTTGTCCACAAGATTGCTTCTGTTGAGGTACTGAGCATGTGCAGGTTTTGTCCACAAGATGGCATCTGTTGAGGAACTGAGCATGTGTGGGGGCCATTTTTATGGCTACAATCTCTACATATAGATGTGAAACAAATGATAGGTGCCATTTTGCCACCATGTGAAGCTAAGCAACACTTCCAGCCACTATGTGACCTTTTTTAATTCTTTGAATTATTTATACTATTGACGAAGCTCTGTTTTTTGGAGTGAAACATGTAGAGTTTCTTTTTTTCTTTGGGTCTTTCTTTGGGAGCACTTTTTGAATTCACATGGTATTTACTCCTCTCCTCCCTGCATAGGTCTGTACTGGACTTTACAGTGCATTGTTGCATTCCTCAAGATAGTGAGGTACAGTTGCAAGAAAAGTATGCGAACCCCTTGGGATTAAGTGGGGTTTTGCATGAATTGAGCATAAAATGTGCTCTGAACGTCATCTAAGTCACAACAATAGAAGAACACAGTCTGCTGAACATAATACTACACAAACATTAGATGTTGCCATGATTTAATTGCACATAACATGTAAACATTCACAGTGCAGGGAGGAAAAAGTATGTGAACCTTTGGACTTAATTACTGGTTGACCCTCCTTTGGCAGCAATAACCTCAACCAAACGTTTCCTGTAGTTGCAGATCAGACCTGCACAAAGATCTGGAGTAATTTTGGACCACTCCTCTTCACATAACTGCTTCAGTGTAGCAATATTCTTGGGATGTCTGGTGTGAATCGCTATCTTAAGGTCATGCCACAGCATTTCAATCGGGTTGAGGTCAGGACTCTGACTGGGCCACTCCAGAAGGCGTATTCTGTGCTGTTGAAGCCATTGTTTTGTTGAATTACTTGTATGCTTTGGGTCATTGTCCTGTTGCATCACCCATCCTCTGCGGAGCTTCAGTTGGCGGACAGATGGTCATACGTTTTCCTGCAAAATGTCTTGATAAACTCTGGAATTCATTTTCCCATCAATGACAACAATCTGTCCAGGCCCTGAGGCAGCAAAGCAGCCCCAAACCATGATGCTCCCTCCACCATGTTTTACAGTGGGGATGAGGTTTTGATGTTGGTGTGCTGTGCCTTTTTTTCTCCACAAATAGTGTTGTGTGTTCTTCCCAAACAACTCAATCTTGGTTTCATCTGTCCACAGTATATTTTGCCAGTAGTGCTGTGGAACATCCAGGTGCTCTTTTGCAAACTTCAAACGTGTTGCAATATTCTTTTTGGACAGCAATGGCTTCCTCCGTGGTGTCCTCCCATGTACTCCATTCTTGTTTAATGTTTTCCTTATTGTAGATGTGTCAACAAAAATGTTAGCATGTGCCAGAGATTTTTGTAGGTCTTTAGCTGACACTCTGGGATTCTTCTTTACCTCATGCAGCATTCTGCGCTGTGCTCTTGCAGTCATTTTTACAGGACGACCAAGCCTAGGGAGAATAGCAACAGTGCTAAACTTTCTCCATTTGTAGACATTCTGTCTTACCGTGGACACATGAACATCAAGGCTTTTGGAGATACTTTTGTAACCCTTTCCAGCTTCATGCAAGTCAACAATTCTTGATCGTAGGTCTTCTGAGAGCTCTTTTCTGCGAGGCATGGTTCACATCAGACAGTGCTTCTTGAAACCAGTAAACCCAAAACAGGTCTGGTGTTATTAACCATTTGGATGTAAGGTAAATAATTGCAATGGTATCAAGTCATTTTGTTGTGCGCAGTACATTCCATTCCAATAGGCATTAATTACAGTTGAGTATACATTTTACATTTGTAAAACCCCTTGTTTTCTAATCAAATTTCTTACATTCTGTTGCACAGTGGGTGAATCTCTATAACGCAGACACAGAAAGCAAAATTTGAAATAGAGTTTAGCCCTTCTTTGCTATATTTACTGTGGTATTTTGCTGTTTTCATTTAAAGTTTGTAAGTTGAGCATTAGAGATGAGGTATTGGTTTGCCACTATCATTTTTGGTAACAGCAGATCCAGTGTGATATCTGCATTCTGGGCAAATTAATGCACACATTTTCCAGACCAATATAAATAAATATAAATATAATACCTGTGTTTTGAACATAGTCATTTGTATGTTGGACTAATTCAGGGAGAGATTACAGTCTGGGCGGGGAGAGTTAGTTGCTATACAATGTTTTACAGGTCTATTTTGTGTTAAATTACTGTGGGTTACAGTCCAGAGGGCTACATATTTCTGTGTATCCTCTGTATTTATAGTTCAGAGACCCAACAGCCTTTTAGGACTATCTTTTTTGTGTGCATGCAACAACTGTATTTGCTGTTTAGCTGATGGACCCCTTTGCAGCCTTTCTTTATTTGATTTTTTTATTGTTCTTGTGTTTTCTGCTGGATCAAAGTGGATTGATGTTTAGTTAGATGGTTATTTCCAGTGTCTTTATGCCAGCTTGGCAAAACATCTGACCTTCCAGCTCCTCCCTTTATGACTTATGACTTTTATAATGTGCCTGAGTCCCTGGGCTATGCTATCAGCAGCAGGGTACACAAAACCATGGATACATGGTCCAGTAAGTATGGGAAGGAATTCTACATATGCTTCGCTGGGTCAATCTTCTGGTGCCAGAGAAATATACAGAATTGGGCGTACCATTGGAGCTTGTGGTGCCACTCTGTGTCACGTACAGGGGGTCAATGTGCAGTCACCCTGAACCCCATCCTCCACATTGGCATCATCCTCTGAATCCTCACAACTAGCAGTCCCCTTTGGGGTCTCAGAATATGTACATCTCAGACTAAATGCTTACATGCTGTGTTGCAGATTGAATGCCTGGGGGAAAGGAACCATATTGGTTCAGTGGCGCCGACAACTCTAAATAATCAGCAGATGTCCTGTGGCCACATAAATTGGTTACCTATAATATTCTACTCAGTATTGCTACATTAAAATATCATTAATTGGTATCAAATATAAAAATTACAAAATTTCTATGCAGAAGCTAATAAATTATACCCTTCACCTACACACATATAAAAGAGACAATGTTGTCTACAGCTCACATACAAAACTGGTGCTCGGATGTCAAATCAGCCACAAAAATAATTACAGCCCATAGGCCAATATAAAGCCCAGCAGCCTTAGCAGGCTTCTGGGATAAAATATTCATATTTCATCCGACTTCTAATTAGATGATTATTAGAGATGAGCGAATTATTCAAAAATTCGATTCGACTGATTCGGCGAATTCGTGAAAAAATTTCGATTCGAGTTGAATATATTCGCTGCGAATTTAACTTATAAAAGGGTCTTTCTAGGCTTCAGAGAGCCTTTACATTAGTGCAGAACACTGTACCTTTAATTTAAATGCCCTTGGAGTCTGCTGGGGAAGATAAATAATACTGTCAGTCAGTATGACATGCAGATGAGTGCCGTCGATCTTAGAATCACCGCACACTTCACTCATTTGGGCAGTCACGGGGCCAAAACCAGAGTGTGGAGCCACAGTGTGGCGGTGGAGGCAGCAGCAATGGGAGGCCATACAGCACCCTATGACAAAATGGAACCCACCAGCAGTGTGAGGAGACCTGAAAGTGGCACATGGCAGAGTGTGGCGATGGAGACAGCAGCAATGGGAGGCCGTACAGGGACCCATGACACACTCTGGACCTGGCAGCAGCATGAGGAGGCGGTACAGGGGCCCATGACAGATTACGGGCCTGGCAGCAGCATGAGGAGTCGGTACGGGGGCCCATGACAGATTACGGGCCTGGCAGCAGCAATGGGAGGCCGTACAGGGACCCATGACACACTCTGGACCTGGCAGCAGCATGAGGAGGCAGTACAGGGGCCCATGACAGATTACGGGCCTGGCAGCAGCATGAGGAGTCGGTACGGGGGCCCATGACACACACTGGACCTGGCAGCAGCATGAGGAGGCGGTACAGGGGCGCATGACAGATTACGAGCCTGGCAGCAGCAACTTGGACAGGAGGACGTTCAGCTTCTGCACCGTCGGGTGCGTGCTCGCAAACTGTTGTCTCTTGGAAACGGATTCCAAGAAAGACTGCTGACGGAATCCGTGAAGAGGAGTAGCAGGAGAAGGAGCATCTGAACGAGCGGAATATGCCAACAAGCGACAACAGGGGCCCATGACAGATTACGGGCCGGGCCTGGCAGCAGCTATGGGAGGCCCGTAATCTGCCAGCACCCTATGACAAAAAATGGAACACACCAGCAGTGTGAGGAGACCTGAAAGTGGCACATGGCAGAGTGTGGCGATGGAGACAGCAGCAATGGGAGGCGGTACAGGGACCCATGAGACACTGTGGACCTGGCAGCAGCATGAGGAGGCGGTACACAGGGGCCCATGGCAGATTAAGGCCTGGCAGCAGCAATGGGAGAGGCCCGTAATCTGCCAGCACCCTATGACAAAATGGAACCCTGGGCTGGGGCAGGCAGAACCGCCGTATCTTTATCACGGTTTTCCCAGGCCACACCGAATGGCGACGCTGCATATGCTGACGCAACACTGTAGTCCCAACATGGGCCCCCTGGCCACGCTTGACTTTCTGGCCACATAGTCGACATACGGCTACGTTTACTTCCTCGGGCGGCTAGACGAAAAATTGCCACACCGCCGAGTAGGAAACTTTGCCCCCGCTACTCCTCACTGGCTGACTGCTACTTCCTCCGTGCACACCGGCACCACTACTGGCCGTGGTGGTAGGCTGCAGTGGAGCTGGTGCTCTACTCCGTGGCCGTTTTGCCTCCACTGACACTGCTGCGACCCTGCTGCTGCCCCTGGCAGCAGCAATGGGAGGCCGTACACAGGGACCCATGAGAGACTCTGGACCTGGCAGCAGCATGAGGAGGCGGTACAGGGGCCCATGGCAGATTAGGGGCCTGGCAGCAGCTATGGGAGGCCCGTAATCTGCCAGCACCCTATGACAAAAAATGGAACACACCAGCAGTGTGAGGAGACCTGAAAGTGGCACATGGCAGAGTGTGGCGATGGAGAGACAGCAGCAATGGGAGGCCGTACAGGGACCCATGAGACACTGTGGACCTGGCAGCAGCATGAGGAGGCGTACAGGGGCCCATGGCAGATTAGGGGCCTGGCAGCAGCTATGGGAGGCCCGTAATCTGCCAGCACCCTATGACAAAAAATGGAACACACCAGCAGTGTGAGGAGACCTGAAAGTGGCACATGGCATGAGACACTGTGGACCTGGCAGCAGCATGAGGAGGCGGTAAAGGGGCCCATGGCAGATTAGGGGCCTGACAGCAGCAATAGGAGGCCCGTAATCTGCCAGCACCCTATGACAAAAAATGGAACACACCAGCAGTGTGAGGAGACCTGAAAGTGGCACATGGCAGAGTGTGGCGATGGAGACAGCAGCAATGGGAGGCCGTACAGGGACCTATGAGACACTGTGGACCTGGCAGCAGCATGAGGAGGCGGTGCAGGGGCCCATGGCAGATTAGGGGCCTGGCAGCAGCAATGGGAGGCCCGTAATCTGCCAGCACCCTATGACAAAAAAATGAAAACACACCAGCAGTGTGAGGAGACCTGAAAGTGGCACATGGCAGAGTGTGGCGATGGAGACAGCAGCAATGGAGGCCGTACAGGGACCCATGAGACACTGTGGAGCTGGCAGCAGCATGAGGAGGTGGTACAGGGGCCCATGGCAGATTAGGGGCCTGGCAGCAGCTATGGGAGGCCCGTAATCTGCCAGCACCCTATGACAAAAAATGGAACACACCAGCAGTGTGAGGAGACCTGAAAGTGGCACATGGCATGAGACACTGTGGACCTGGCAGCAGCATGAGGAGGCGGTACAGGGCCCATGGCAGATTAGGGGCCTGGCAGCAGCTATGGGAGGCCCGTAATCTGCCAGCACCCTATGACAAAAAATGGAACACACCAGCAGTGTGAGGAGACCTGAAAGTGGCACATGGCAGAGTGTGGCGATGGAGACAGCAGCAATGGGAGGCCGTACAGGGACCCATGAGACACTGTGGACCTGGCAGCAGCATGAGGAGGCGGTACAGGGGCCCATGGCAGATTAGGGGCCTGGCAGCAGCTATGGGAGGCCCGTAATCTGCCAGCACCCTATGACAAAAAATGGAACACACCAGCAGTGTGAGGAGACCTGAAAGTGGCACATGGCAGAGTGTGGCGATGGAGACAGCAGCAATGGGAGGCCGTACAGGGACCCATGAGACACTGTGGAGCTGGCAGCAGCATGAGGAGGTGGTACAGTTAGGGGCCTATGGCAGATTAGGGGCCTGGCAGCAGCTATGGGAGGCCCGTAATCTGCCAGCACCCTATGACAAAAAATGGAACACACCAGCAGTGTGAGGAGACCTGAAAGTGGCACATGGCATGAGACACTGTGGACCTGGCAGCAGCATGAGGAGGCCGGTACAGGGGCCCATGGCAGATTAGGGGCCTGGCAGCAGCAATGGGAGGCCCGTAATCTGCCAGCACCCTATGACAAAAAATGGAACACACCAGCATGTGAGGAGACCTGAAATGTGGCACATGGCAGAGTGTGGCGATGGAGACAGCAGCAATGGGAGGCCGTACAGGGACCCATGAGACATTGTGGACCTGGCAGCAGCATGAGGAGGCGGTGCAGGGGCCCATGGCAGATTAGGGGCCTGGCAGCAGCAATGGGAGGCCCGTAATCTGCCAGCACCCTATGACAAAAAATGAACACACCAGCAGTGTGAGGAGACCTGAAAGTGGCACATGGCATGAGACACTGTGGACCTGGCAGCAGCAGCATGAGGAGGCGGTATACAGGGGCCCATGGCAGATTAGGGGCCTGGCAGCAGCTATGGGAGGCCCGTAATCTGCCAGCACCCTATGACAAAAAAATGGAACACACCAGCAGTGTGTGAGGAGACCTGAAAGTGCACATGGCAGAGTGTGGCGATGGAGACAGCAGCAATGGGAGGCCGTACAGGGACCCATGAGACACTGTGGACCTGGCAGCAGCATGAGGAGGCGGTACAGGGGCCCATGGCAGATTAGGGGCCTGGCAGCAGCTATGGGAGGCCCGTAATCTGCCAGCTCTGACCCCTATGACAAAAAATGGAACACACCAGCAGTGTGAGGAGACCTGAAAGTGGCACATGGCATGTGGCGATGGGAGACAGCACTGTGGAGAGACCTGGACCCTGGCAGCAGCATGAGGAGGCGGTAAAGGGGCCCATGGCAGATTAGGGCCTGGCAGCAGCAATGGGAGGCCCATAATCTGCCAGCACCCTATGACAAAAAATGGAACACACCAGCAGTGTGAGGAGACCTGAAAGTGGCACATGTTTGGGGCATGATTCATGGCGGATTTAGTCAGTTGTGTCAGGAACTGGTGGTTTGAAATCCAGACTAATCCACGCCTGATTCATTTTCCACAAACGTGAGTCTCTCCACACTTTGGGTGGACAGGCCCGTGTCCTCCGCGGAGTTACAATACCCTCCTGCCGCACTAAACACGCGCTCCGATGCCACGCTACTGGCCGGGCATGACAGCCTTTCAAGGGCAAATTCAGCTATTGGGGGGCCAAAGGTCAAGTTTCGTTGCCAGGTAGTCAAGGGGATTGTCTACCTCGGTTGGCAGGGTGCTGTCCAAGTAGGCCCAAGCCTGTTGTTTGAGGTCCTCTCCAGGTCCACCTGATGCTGCTGCTGCTGCTGCTGCTGGTTAGTAGTTTTCCCTCACTGCGCTGGTGAAGAAAGCTACTCATCATCGACTGCAGACTGAGGCAGCCGCTGCTGGTGGAGCTGCCACTGCTCCTACCACCCCCACCCCCCCCTGCTGCCATGGCAGCGGAACGCGAGCGCACAGGGCCCACAGTGTCTGAGGATGGACGTTGGCGCACAAAGGCAGAGACCAACTGACTACATAGGTGGTTTTTATAGTACGTTATTTTGGCCTCCCTCTCAGCAGGTGTGAAAAAGGCCACCATTTTTGAACGGTAGCGAGGGTCCAACAAGGTGGACAGCCAAAATTCAATCCCTCTGTCTGATGGTTATTATTCGCTGTCGCTAGAACGCAAGCAACCGAGCATGCTATGGGCCATTTGTGCCAAGGAATGCGAGGGACCCTGCCCATCCCTGCCTCCATCTCCACAGCATACTGCCACGGTGCGTCTGGGTCCTCTGTCTCCTCCTCCTCCTCCTCTACCAGATGCTCCTGCTCCTCAACTCCTGTCCGCTGAGTGGAAAAACCACCCATTTCACTCAATAATTCCTGAGACAGCACAAATGTCCTCCTCTACCTCCTCCTCTTCTTCCTGTCCTGCCCCCACAGGGGTCATGTGGCGTTGAGATCTGTGCGCCACGTCTACCGCACCCTGACCAGCCATTGTTAACAGCATTTGTTCCAGGACGTGCAACAGAGGAATGACGTCGTTCATCCCATAGTCCTGCCGACTCACGAATAGCGTGGCCTCCTCAAAGGGCCTGAGCAAGCGGCAGGTGTCACGCATGAGCTGCCAATGGCTGACATCGAAGTTACACAGGGGAGTACCTTTATCCGCTTTGTAACATCAGGAAATCGGTGATAGGCCTTTCGCTGTTCGTAAAGGCGGTCTAACATGTGTAGGGTTGAATTCCACCTTGTTGCAACGTCGCAGATCAGGCGATGATGCTGTGGAATTCCGTTCTGCCCGCTGCAGCTCAAGGAGGGTGTGCTTTGCGGTGTAGGAATGGCTGAAATGCATGCAAATTTACGTGACATTTTAAGGATGTCTTGCAGTGGGATGGTGGATTTTAAGGAACCGCTTGACAACCAGATTGAACACGTGAGCCATGCATGGCGCATGGCACAACCTTCCTTGACGCAGAGCAGACACCATGTTTCTTTCCGTTGTCGGTCAACATGGTTCCGATTTTCAGTTTGCGCGGAGACAGCCATCTGTCGATTTCTCTGTTCATTACACTGAGAAGTTCCTCCCCTGTGTGACTACGTTCGCCAAGGCATACCAGGTGCACACAGCGTGACACCGTTGCCCCCTGCACATGTGATATGCCGGTCGGGTAATGGGACTTGGACTATGGCAGGGGGTGGCGGCTGAGGACACGGCGGAAGAAGAGGTGGTAGAGGCGGACATCTTTGCCGGACCAAGGACGTGCAAACGTGGAGGCAAAAGCGGCGTGACCTGTCCAAGTTGCTGGTGCGGCTGTGACGGCACCCACGTTCACCCAGTGGGCCGTAAATGACATGTACTGTCCCTGACCGTAGTTACAGCTCCACACGTCGGCGCTGCCGTGCACTTTGGCAGAGACCGACATGCTCAAAGACTGGCCCACCATGTCTTCTACATGTGAATGCAGGGCTGGCACTGCCTTTTTTTGGCGAAGAAATGACGGCTTGGCACTCTCTCCACCGCGGCGCGGCACAAGCCATCATTTCTCTGAAAGGTGCTGAGTCCACCACTTGGAAAGGGAGGGGACTGCAGCACCAGCAACTTGGACAGGAGGACGTTCAGCTTTTGCACCGTCGGGTGCGTGCTCGCAAACTGTTGTCTCTTGGAAACGGATTCCAAGAAAGACTGCTGACGGAATCCGTGAAGAGGAGTAGCAGGAGAAGGAGCATCTGAACGAGCGGAAGATGCCAACGAGCGACAAACTCCCCTCAGCAGAAGTGTTGGAGCTTGACTGGCTGATGGAGGGCGATTGACGTCGGGTGACGGAGCAAGTAACGGAGCGGGTGATGGAGCGGGGGCTGGGGCAGGGCAGAACCGCCGTATCTTTATCACGGTTTTCCCAGGCCACCAAATGGCGACGCTGCATATGCTGCCGCAACGCTGTAGTCCCCAACATGGGGGCCCCCTGGCCACGCTTGACTTTCTGGCCACATAGTCGACATACGGCTACGTTTACTTCCTCGGGCGGCTTGACGAAAAATTGCCACACACCGCCGAGTAGGAAACTTTGCCCCCGATACTCCTCACTGGCTGACTGCTGCTGCTTCCTCCGTGCACACCGGC